TCATTAGAATACAGTTTTAAAAACTGGTCAAAAGGTAAACCATTGTTACGGTGATGGAAGGAAAACACACAGTGATAGCTACAGGTAGGAGTATGGGGCTTTTGTAATTGTCAAGGGTGGAACATAATGTCAGCAGCATTTTTATTTAAAAATGTCATGCTGCTTCTGGGAAAGAACATCCTGTCCAGGCAGCGTCCGTATGAGAGAAATAACTCTGTGGTAATTCTCTAGGTACAAGGTGAGTCAATGTGCACCCAGTTAGTTTTGTTGTCCACCTGATACAGACAGTGCCGGGGCCACCCGTACTTTCTTTTAAAAATGGGTTACTAAAATAATCCGCAGGTTAGAACCTTTGATTGCATCACCCATTAAGCAGAGGGAGTCATTACTGTTTATCAGTTTTATTTTCACATCCATACTTATCAAGGCTGTTTCCCTCTCTGGCACTTCGTGTTCAGAAGGTGGGGGCCTACAAGGATTCTAAAAATTAATACTGGCCACTCTAGGCTTGTATTTATCTACAAGGTTGCAGCTTTTCTCTCACCTTGGCTTGGTAAATGCTGCCACCACCCAAATGCAACCATCCCTTGGACCCAGGTGGGAATACTTGGGAATTCCTCCCTGTAGGGTACTATCAAGCCCTTTATCCCCCCTCTCTTTTCTGGGGAAGAGCTGAGAAAGAAAACAAAGGAAATTAGCTGTTGCTACTAGCTAATCAAACAACATGCACAAACCTCTTCAGACACCAAAAATCCAATCGTGTTCTTAAAAAAAGGTAAATTTTATTAAAAACAAAAAGAAAGAAAATACATTTGGAATTTAGGCTTTTTCAAGATTTTAAAAGAGCAATTCCAAAAATTAAGCACCCAAAATAACTTTCTTGGGGGTTCATCTTAAAGGTTACAAGCAAACGAAAGCATCTGAGGTTAGCACAGAGGAGTCCACAAGCCTTAAAAAATTAAGAGAAATAAACCTAATCACGTCTTTCTAAACATTCCTAAATTACTTACATATTTGCGGGGGTTCAAATCAGTAATTCTAGGTACAATCTGATGATTTCTCAGACCTGGCTTAAAGCGTAGTCATAGCTCTGACTTTGCTCTGCATCACCCCCCGCTCCGGAGAGCAACCGCAGACACCAAGGGAAAGCTTCCTTCCCAATTTTAAAAAGTTCTAGTCTTCCCATTGTGTCTTTTGGTCAGGTGCCCTTTTCCTTAGCTGGGGGACTTTTTTAACCTTTTACAGGTAAAGGAAGCAGAGAACAGCTACCAAGAGGGATTTTACAGCTAACTGGATGGCTGGATGTCCATAAATGGGAGCTACCTCCGCCCCTTCATTTTCACAATACTGTTCAACAGAAGTTTTTCTTGAAAAATAGGTTGCTATGTAGATGACCCAGCAGCTGTGTCTTCCTGTTCTGGGTCATCAGGTTTACCTGTCTTGCAAACACTTAATTCTCACCGTCCAGCTCCATTACTTCATCTTGTCCGGGAATGTCTTTGTATCACAGGCCTGCAGAAAACAGGGTAGTAAGTGTGTTGACTCTGTAATTTAGCACTGATTCGATAAAGACCCTGTAAGGGTAACAGTCATTGCTTTGGATTACATGGTGGTCTCCCAAAGTAACGTTCTACTGACTGCAGATAGAGGCCACAGAAAAATTCACCAGGGGGCCCTCAGCCCCCCTTCTAAGATTTTTAAAAGAAGATGGAACCATATCGCAACAAAGGTACAGTAGCACGATGTTTAAATACATATCATCTACACCATTCCCTGCTATAAGAAAATCAAGGAGAGCAGCATTCATAATGTCTGTAGATGCTTTTCTTGATGCTGGTCTCTGTAGGAGCTATCTGGAACAAGTGTTGTTGGTTTTAGTGCACTCTTCAGCCCACAATGAACTAAAGCCATGGTGATTAAAATCTCTCTCTTTTAGCATGTGGAAAGTACATCACAGGGGCTCTGTGATATCCAGGAAGGACACATCCAACCTCACATTGTAATAGTTTCTGTAGCTGGTGGGGGAGTCATCTCCTTAATAGTTTAGGGTCACCGTCGTATTTTGCTTTTTAAAAGCCCGTCTGTCTCCGGGAGCGCAGGTGCAGCTTGATGGCCACCTTCTCAGAACAAAATGAGACGTGTCTGTGCTGGTCTGACTGTAGTTCAGTGGTGTGGGTGTCAATGTGGTGTTTACTGACAGGGACATAACGAGCTTTATCATACGTGATGGTGAGAAACCTATTGTTACTTCCTCAGATGGAGATGCAGATAAACAGGGCTATGGAAAAGTCCCCCACAAAAAGTTTTTCTACAATGTCTGTGTATAGACACAAGAATTTGAATTCCCCCACACACCGGTAATGTTTGCTGACAGGGTCATTTTTTGACACCACAATTGGGGACCAAACCCAAAATTTTAACTAGCTCCTTTCATGAGAAACATTAGAGGATGTAATTCTATATATTCGTCATTTGTAATTTGATCTAGTTTCTACTTTTGGTGTCAGTCTTTTTTGAATTTCAAGTAAGTGGAGATCTCCTGGTTAAGCCAGGGTGGTCTCTTACCACACTTCTGTCTTTTCTGTGCATGCAATATTTGCTCTTGCATCCTTAATAATGTCAGACCAATGGTGGTCAGAAATTAACCTCTTCCACTGGATCACATGACAAAATTCAGAAATAGGGCTGTAAACAGAATGTCTAATCATAGATTTAACTAAGTAGAGGCTACCTCGTTCCATGATTGTGCTGGTTCCCACTCCCAGACTGACATTCCATATGGAGAAACAGCTCTTCCGCCACCCTAGTCTAATGGTTAGCACACAGCACTCACAGTCAGAAGGTAACAAAAAGGCACATTAGAAATGTAGATAGATTCCGCCTCCCCCACCCTTCCCATAATGAGGAGACGGTAATCTCTCCCTTCCCCAGATGTACAGAACTTCTCAACCTCCACACTGAACAGAGGAAATTGGCATTAGGAGGAAATGGAGGTTGGGGGTAGGACAGGTTGGACAGTGGGAAGTGCTCGACTCCTGTCTGATGAGGCAGGGAGGTCTTGAGAGTTGGGGCGGTGGGAGTCAGGGGCTCGTCTCATCCACGTGGGCAGGGTGGCAGGTGAGTTTTGAGGCTGTAGGTGTGTCAGCTGGAAATCAGGTAACCGATGTCTTGTCTTCACTGCTGAACAGGGTGACCAGATAGCAAGTGTGAAAAATTGGGATGGTGTGGGGGGTAATAGGTGCCTACATAAGAAAAAGCCCCGAATATCAGGACTCTCTGCATAAATAGGTGCCTCTATCCATTTACAGTCTTCTCCTGAGATCTTTTCCCCGAGTTCATCACTACATGCCAGGGGAGAGTTCATTCCCACCCTCCTTACAGTAGGTTCACTTCATAAATTAAGCTATTTTTCTTGAATTGTCAACAAGCAGCTGATCAGGCCTTTTGGTTGTCTAGACTTTATCACATTTCATTTGGATTCATTTCTAGAGATTTTCACTTCTCAACATATCAGCTGAATATATCACCTTCTACAATATAAAACA